CCCCCCCCCTCCCCTACAGCTGTTCCCTTACCAGTTAATTTGTTCTGGGTTTGCTTTGAATCACTTCTTGTAGGTAGTTGCTTCAGATACTAGCTGGTCAACAATAAAGCCAGCTATTTTGTAATTATGTCATGAAACAATTCATACATCTGCAATTAATATACAATGGTTAAATACCTTATCTCTATTTCTATGGAAAGTATCTGCTCCACAAAATGATAAATGTACAGCTCCTCTAAAGAGGAAGGAGTCATTAAATACAAATAATTGGTTCACTCATAACTCTAAATATTATAGGCAGTCTGTGGAGTATTTAATAGGTTTTGATTATTAACTCTCCTTCAAGTGTTGGGGTTTTTTAGTGCAATGGAAAATACTAATTTTCTTGCATAATTCCCTCCCATCTAATACTCAAGTGATTTATTAATATATGCAAATATTTTCCCCTACTTTTGCTACTAGAGAAATGTTTAAATCCAGCTAGTATCTTTTGTCAAAGTAATGGCATTGCTTTAAGTATCTTCTCAAACCTGTAAACATTTGTGTAAAGTGAAACCCACTGTTGTTTTACTATTGGTTTTCACTCCTTGAAACAGTGTGCGTGGGTGTGTGCATGCAGGGTTAAAGGAAGATACATGAGCCGAGGTAACTACAAAGCTGCTGTAGTTTGAGGTATAGCAAAAAAACTCTGTAGGTAGAAGTCTTATTGTAAGTTTTAACTAAACTGGTGCTGAGCTTCATGGTACTGTGTTTTCTGTGCCATATATATGATAATAAATTAGAGTTTTGTCCTTCATCTTTTAGAAGTTCCTTCTACTAGCCTTTTCTAAGTCAAGACTTGACTCATTTATTTTGTCAGCCCTCAAGCCCGTGCTTTATTGCGGGTTTTGGTTGAGCTTTGCTCAAGTGCATTTGTCATTTTTGAGCATCCTTGAAGCAGGAGGCATGAGCAGGGTCAGCTGTTCTTCAGTCCTCTGAGTTGCTTGTCCTTGGCTAGGTTCCTCCAAAGCACGGGTTAGTTGTTCTGAGCCCCATCAAGAGACAAGCTGGTACGGGCAGGAGAGAAGGATATAAAAGTATTGGCATAAGAGTCTGCGTGCGGCTTTGTTTTGGGTTTACTCTCAGCATCTTTGAGTAAAAAGTATCCACACTGAAAAATGAGGATGCAGTTTTCATGAAAGTCTCTTGGGTTTTGTTTACCTGCCATCATTTTCTTTACCTCCATATAATCTACCTTCATCTTCATGAAACTGTATCTGCTCACCGGTTTGGAGTCCGAAAGTTCTTCCTCATGAGTTGATCTGGCAACCCAAATTGTAAATTTGTCATACTTACAACTTGAAGGTAGCACCATTTCTTTAACCCTATTTTCAACTCTGGATATTTATTTGTAATATTACTGTTTAGATGATTGTAGGCTGCAACCAGTATTCAGTGTGGGAGAAATGCTGGATGGGCCATCTCCCAAGGACTAATTACACCTCAGTTTTTGTGGTAAACCTTTGTGCTTATAGGAGAGGAGTCTGAAATGTTTGAAATTCGAGTGTGAGAGAACACATTAGCTTTCTGGATAAGTCTTCGTTTCTAGACTAGTGCTTAAACCTGTTCTCCGTGTCCTTTGTTTTGTTAAGTAGGACAGAACGGTGAACAAACTGGTGTAGCATGTGAATGCTGGAGGAAAGGATTAAATTATCTCAAGGAAGTGTTTGTCTTAAGCATCTTAGACATAGCTCTGCCTGGTGAAAGGATCACAGTGCTACCTCAACAACTGAGAAGAGAGTAAAGTGTCTTTACAGGGTTTTAGTAGTATAACTGCGATCTTTTATTTTCTTGTGAATACACTAAATAATGGTCTAGTAGCTTGCAAAAGGAAGGTTGTTTCTAAACATTGTTCACAAGCTCTTTGCCTTCTGCGCTGCATTTTATTTATCTGTATGCATATGGATAAGCATAGTCTATTTGGAAAAGGTGGCTTTTGGGGTTGGGGAAGGAGATTTTAGTAGAACCAGTTAATTTAAAAACACAGTCTGAATGAAATTTTTAAGTTATTATTTGAAGGGCTCATCTTTAGTGAAGCAATTAAATGATTCAGAACAGGGCCTTGAAGCTGTCTTCAGTAGTTTGAGTGGGATTAGGTGTACTGGGAAACAATTATGGAGTGGTTTAGTTTGAGTCATGAGACTGTGACCTGGTGGACCATGGTAACCAGGGCTGCAGAGTGTAAATGGAGTGCACAGTGTCATGCACGTAGGCACCAAGTCACACATACGAGCTTGATTTTATGGGACCACTTAAATGAAGATAGAGTATTTTGACTGTCGATGAAAGCTCTGCTGAGCCAAATGAATGTATCAAGCATTATGGGGCTTTGTGAGAAAGTGGACAGTACTTTGTAGAAGAATGTATAAAGTTAGATAAGTCTAGAAGACTGCAGGGAAAGGTAAATATTTGGAATTCATTGTGAGATAGAGCATTATAGTGAAAATAAAACCTTTCAGTATCTTGAATGAAACTGATAGCTCACAATTCCACTCAGCCTGTTTGGCTTTGCTGAGATGCAAGATGTCTGATGTTCTGAATTGATAGCAAATGATAATTTTGTCATTCTTCAGGCTTTTTTAATGAACAGGGCTATTATCTTCTCACATACAAACTGTGGTTTGTTTTTTCTGATTTAAAAAAAAAACAACAACAAAACTCAAAAAACAAAACAAACTGTGACATCAGGATCCGTGATTCAGCATCAAGCAGTGCCAAAAAATATAGAGATGGATCGACAGATTTTTCTTCATCTTCTTGGAACCACCTCTCTCCGCTAGCCTCCCTGTCTAGAGTGTTTCATAACCTGACTCCATTTTTCCACCAACACCCTTTTTTTTTTTTCCTTCCTGAATTTTCCTGCTTCTCTGAATATGTATTGGATTATTAGAACACTTGTATGGTGTAAAAATTCAGGCTTTCTATTGAATAATAGCAGTTAGCTTTTGTTATTGTTATTTTGGAAGGAAAAATACTTGAAAAACTGTTTTTCTAGTTAAATGTTCAAGGAATTTTTTATTTTTTATTTAAAAACTCATCAGCGGAATTTTCTATGGAAATTTGCTGCTTTCTGAGCATATGTTAGGAAACTGATGGAAAGGAGGCTTTTAAAATGATGAAAGAATTATTGCAGTTGTGATGTTTTGTATAAAACATCACATTTTTCATAATGAATACTGCACTATTCACTTCCATTGGCTACTCATTTTCTCTAGTTTTCAGTAAGCTGCATTTAATTGATGACATCGTGTAAATTTTTTTAAATTTGCCTTGAGATACTGATTTTCCCTAAGCATAGTTTTTATGGTTAGTCATAATATTGGAGCAAACTTTTGAAAAACTTGAGAATGATGGTATTGAAAAAAATAAACGGAAAGCAGCAATTTATACTTTTAAGTAGGAATTTGCTAAATAGATAGTATTTTTTTTTCTCATTTTAAAATTTAGTATGAATGATGAAATTTATTCCACATTGTTCTTTGGAATATTTGTTCCCCTTTTGGTTCCACATCTTTTATGTTACATTGTACTGGGTTACTTTCTTCTGCATAGATACTGTATTCCTCTACTGTGAATCTTGTAGGATCCCTATGATTTTGATAGTTAGCTTTTATACTTTCGCTAAAGCATTATTCTATTGGCAAGTAACCAGTGCTTTCTGCAGTTCAGTTCTTGGAGGTTCTTATACAAATGATGTTGAAAAAGTAGATTGTTTAATCAAGAGAACAAGAGTTTACAATGGAACCTTTTTTCTTCCTGAATACTAAAATAATGGTCAGAGAAGACCTTGGCTACTGCTAACTGGGTTATTGAGGTTTTCCAACTGTTTTGCTAGTAACTAAGAAAAAACTAACTTTTCAGAGGCATGTTGTGGAGACATTTTTTGGATTTGATGAAGAATCTGTTGATTCAGAAACATCATCTATAACTTCATATAACACAGATAAAACAGACAGAACACCAGCAACACCCGAAGAAGATTTGGAAGATGTAAGTAGAAGCTGATTTGTTCTTAAGTCCTATAAAAATTGATATGGAGTATAAATGCACTCTTTTTTTCAGCTGTTCTGCTACAGGAACTATGAAAGATTTGGCAGAGAATTGCTTTGTTTTGTTTCAAGTCCAGTAACACATACACAATCATTGAAATAGAATTAATAAGATAATATTCTGCCTGACAGATTTGGCAGATATTGGGCTGAGATATAAAATTGTTTTTCTCAAACCCTTTCTTATTAGTCAAAAGAAAATGAATAGGCATGTCGCTTTGCCAAAAGTCAATAGTTACTAGACAATAGTTTGCATTTCAACCTTATAATTTATTTGACTGTTTTGATACAACCGGAATTTTCTTCCTGTACTTACACTACTTGGAGAAGCTTTTGCAATTCATTAAGGCTTAAATGATCATAGGTAGTAAATACCCACTGACATGTTTTGTCTCAGCTCTGTGATATACAGTGCAGCTGGCCTACTTTAAAAGATTGCAGGGCTGAGGACAAAGCATGAATTAGATGCTCTTCTTCCTTTCTTTCTTGTTCACTAACTTGTGCCTAATACTCCTCAGTCACAAGAAGCTTCCTATTTTTCTAAGTTTAATATCTAATAATATTATAATCTCTTTTCCTTGGAGCTCAAGTTCCTGGAGCAAAAATTAATTAAAGAGAAGGACCTTTCTTGCTCTCAGCATTATAGGAAAGACCTTGAAAGCGTTGATGTCAGTTGCTCACAATTCAAAGAAAATTAAGACATTAAAAGTACTAATGTAAAAATAATTAAAAAACCATCTTATGGCTTGTGAAATACAAATTCTGTGTTGGTGTCCTTGTGCTGGTAAAAGGCTTTACCCTAACCCTGGCATTGTAGAGAAAAAGAGTAAGGAGAGAGTGATGGACTGCATGACCAGTAGAATGGAACCCCTTCTGAAGCCCCTGTGGCTCTGGAGTTGCTGAACACGGTGGTGCATACAACTGTTTACTCTCATCTGTCCCCAGCTGGTTTCATCCCATTTCTATACATTACTGCCTTATATGGTAACTTACACTGCCCTGAAATTGTAAGGTAGACACAATTACTGATCTCTGCATTTCTGCATCATTGTCAAATCACCCACCCTTGCATTTTCACTTGTTTTAGTTTTTTAAATCTTTATTAATCTTTGAGACTTGGTACAAGTTATGTTACTTCTTGTATTTGTGAGTCTATCTGTCTATATAAAGAAACCTGTTTGTATATTTATACAAAACTGTTTTTCCTCTCTTCATTAAGAGCACACCTAAAGAAGAAGCTGAACTAAGGTTCTGCCAGCTAACAAGAGAGTATCAAGCTTTGCAAAGAGCATATGCACTGCTTCAAGAACAAGTTGGTGGAACCCTGGATGCAGAGAGAGAAGCAAGGGTAATTTTTTTAACTGAAATTTAACTCTGATATCATTGAGAAAGCTGAAAAAACTTGGAATAGCAGGAGATATCTTTGCAGGTGATTGAAAAGCAAAGCACAGTGGTTTTGAGAATATTATCAGTAAGGTTGCAATTTAGATTCATCTGGTGTGATCAGAACAAAGATATCATTATACTTTATTCTAGCATGCATAATATATTAAAGATTTCAGTAGTAAGACAGTGTTATTGAGAATGACATCCTGACTGAACCTGCAATTTGGATAGCAACGTGATGGATTTAAAATTAATCAGAGAGTAGGTTGTTATAAGTACTTAGGTACTTTATGAGTATATTAAAAAATTTGACCCAAATCTGACAAAGGAAGTTTTTCTTCAAGTGTTTTGTTGAATATATGAAATCAAAATTTGGCTTTAATAACATCAGTTTGAGAGTATTCTTCCACTGAAAATTGCATAGCTAACTGTTGTTCCTATTAGGTCAGCATGTATGATTGTCTACTTTCTCTGAAAGAAATGGGTTTTTATCCTCACAGCAGTCTCTGTACTGTAGATATTTGAGGTGTGAGAGAGTATGTATACTATTTTCATTTACGCTTCTGCCCCCATCCTGGTGGTGCATTCATCCCTGGAGATATTCAGACCCCACTGGACAAGGTCTTCAGCAACCTGCTGTAGGTGCCCCCCTGCTTAGAGCACACGAGTTGGACAGGTGGTCCCTTCCAACCTCAATGAGACTGTGATTCTAAAAAGTGTTTATGCATAAAAAAACCCCTTGACCTACTTCCTCCCCCCAAATGGAGAAACATGGTGAATATTGTGAATTATTACATATTACTGCCTTGCTACATGTGGCCTTCGTTTTATTGTGCCACTGAAACATGTTGCTAATACTGCAGAAAGACACAGATTTTAGTGTCGTTTAAAAATTACTGGTGGGGATGGACTCAATTTATCCCAAAGGTGGGAGCTGCAACTAGCTTGATGGTTCCAGTGCTTAGAACAATTAACAAAATATTCCATATTGCGAGATTTCTGATGGTTATTAGGCATACACTTGCACTATTTAGTCCGCATCATTTTCTATGGCAAGCATTTTAAAATCCACTTACCGAATATTCTCAGGTATAGAAACAGTATGCTTGTGGGAGCAGAATTTCTCTGTGTTAATAAGCAAAGCTCTCCAGATAAAAGTTACAGAAGAATGTAGGCTGTTTGACATTATCTGGAGTTATTTACAGTTAAAAATGTTAGTATATTATCCCCAGAGCCACTATTTAGAAGATTCAAGGTTTACTTTAGAATGTGTCATTTTTAAATTTTTTTTCCAAGGTTCTTTGAAGTGGCTCTTACCCAACCTTAACTTTTTTCCCTGTGAAATACAGTTCTTATAATAGCAGAATAATTGCTTTATAGCTTTATTTGTTAGAGTTCTCAGCATCTTACACAAACCTAGTCACATTTGACACTCTGTTTTTAAGTAGGACATTTAGCCAAGGAAAGCAATAAGAACTTTGGAGATCACTTCTCAAGCTAGAATTGGGTCGGGGGGCATAATTACATCTACTATTAAAGTAAATTTTCAGAGGCACCCATGTATTTGACAGTTATGAGGTACTATTATATATTTCCTTTGCCTTCATGGGAAGGGAGACCCTGGTTTGAATATTTCTATAATAGCTTTTTTTTATTATTTTGCAGGCATTTGCAAATTGTCCCTTTAGTACACTTTGGAATTGTTGCTCTTTCTTTTAATGGCATTTTGGTCTCTTTTGTCACATCCACACAAATCCATCTTTTGAGTGAGTCAGAAGATAGCTTTCTGCATGGTTGGTTTTGTAGGGCCTGATGTCCTGGCGGGATGAACATTTCCTGTTGCTTATAGATGAAGCTTAAGGTAAACAAGAAGGACCCAAAGACACAGAAGGAAATCCCTGTAGGAATTTTTGAATTGCTTGGGTGAAAGAGTAGCTGAAATAGGGAGAGAAAAGTACTTACTCAAGGAGCCTCAGTGATGAGGCTCATCACTGAATATGTGATGAAAGCATCTTTTTTTGCTAGGAGGGAAAAACACTGTTAAAGTGATGGCTTTAAATATTTTGTAACATAAACACAAAAGCAATTTTTTTCATGAAAAAGCACATAAATGAGTAGAAAGTGTCTTTACTTTGATTCTGTGTGCAATTAATTCTACCTGTCTGCCTGGATGTACATGCCTATACACACACTTTTTGATACTTTTTTCTCCCCAGACTCGTGAACAACTGCAAGCTGATCTTCTCAGGTGTCAGGCAAAAATTGAGGACCTGGAGAAAGCTCTAATCGAGAAAGGACAGGTAAAAGGTTCTCTTAATGTCCTCTACCACATCATTTTCTCCCTTGCATGCAGTGGTGCCCTTGCCATCTTCATTGCTTGCTGGTGTGTTAGTGTGACTGATGCAGCTTAATTTCTACTCCAGCAATAGATTACTTAAATAAAGGAAAGTATTGTATAGGCTAAGAAAATGCCATTAAAGATTCATTTTCTAACACATAATGCTAACACTAAAGCATAATAAAATAACGGCATGTACATGCATTTTAAATTCTGTTCCCATTGTCATTTGGTGAAGGCCTTTCTCCTATTTTCCATTTTGTACATATTTGCTATAAATTCCAATAAAATAAGTATTCTATATTTGTACTGGAGAATATTTTTGGTGTGTAGCATAGAAAAATTCAAACCCCAAATCACTTCCACACACGCTTTGGCTAGAGAAATGAACCACTGAGTGTGTCTGGTTACTGGAAGCCACTTGTGGTGTTACTCTCTTGGGCTTAAATTCTTGGAGGACCCAACTGCTTTGATTCTCATACCATCACACAGAGTAAAATTAGGCCTTATGCTTCTGTGTATCTTGTAAATACTTGACGATGTGGCTACTGATGTATATTTAGTAATGTCTAGGATCTTCAGGAAGGCTGATTAAGAGTTATGAGAGTGCATTTAAAAGATATTCAGTTGCATAACTGCTAGAACACACTGAGAAAATTGGGGAGAAGTCATGTTACACTTTGCTTGAAATAACAATTTCAAGATTGTAGGTAACATGGTAATAAAATAAGATACAGCTATCCATAGATTTCAAAGACTAACGATCCTGTAGCATTGAATAAAAGCAACCTATGAATAATGCCAAGTTAATGATATTACTATTTTTATGGTTTATTCTTTGTAAGAAAACTTTCTGTAAGATTCTGTATAAATACAAAGGTTTTGGGACCGCATTCAAATTAAGGGTAAAAATTGTTTGCACTAGCTTCCACGCAAACTGCAATTTTCTTAGTAAATTCCATGTAAATAAAATATTACTAAAAGTAGAGAATATGTTACCAATCTAGAAATGATGGCTCACTGAGCTTTTGGAAGAATAAATGGAATTGAAGACCTCTTGAAGATCTACTGCTGTCGTTTTAGTGTGGTGATGATAAAGTTGTTGTGGGCAAATTGCTGTGTGATTGAAAACATTAAAATAGTTGACTATTACAGTGTAAAATGTAAGTACTGTGTATGTACATACGATAAATGAAGATGGATACGCATGTAAGAAATGACATCTGTGACTTTTGTGTCCAGAATGGTATGTCAAAAAGGTATGCCTGGAAATTGGAATTTAATTAGTTATTACTTTGAGATTCATAACCACATTTTCAACCTTGTATCTGTTAGTAATCCTGAGAAGGCCAACAGGGGCGTGACAAGGAGCAATATGATATTGTCTCTGGTGGGCCAGTTTGTACGCTGAGCATTAGCCTTCCACAGCAGTGGTGACAGTGTCTTCCCAGGAGCTCTAGCACCTGCTCAGTTCTGACCTGTTAGTGTTTACATTCAACAAAATAAATGGTTGTGATGATAAACTGAGTTCTTTGTGCACTATGTGATTATTTTTTTAAAATTATTACTACTTTGTCATTTAGATGGTCATGGTAGTGATGATGATTAATAATAATTGTGAAATGTCCATTTGGGGAACCAGTTCCTATAGTGCTTTTGAAAAGGAAACGATGAATCAAAATGATCCTGGTGTATTATCCCAGGAATTTTTAGTCTTTACAGTTTAGGAAACAGAAGTAGCGAAGACCTTCACAATTTTTCTGAAGTCAAATTCAGAGCAGGAGATTAGAGTGTTATTGTTAAAAAATGACTTCAAGCTTGGTTTATAACAATTTATGTGTAATTTCAAAGTAAGTGGCAATGGCTCTTGTTAATCTCTCAAGTCGATCTGTCAGAATTCCCCTAGATGTAATATGGACTAATAATCCATTTCTGCAATTTACATTGAGGTGCATGAATAAGAAACATAATATTAGGGGAAGAAATTCTAAAACATTAATAGTAGTAAATAATAAATCTCAAAATATTGGAGTATATAATATGCCAGATGGATTTTTTTATTTATTTTTTTTTAATGCTTAGCGCTCTCAGTGACCTGGTGTGTATATAAATACAATTCCATGGGAGTTACAGTTTTCTCAGAAAGTCGAGTTGAACTAAATGCATCAAGAAAGACACAAAAGTTAATTATCAATAGGGCAAATTAATCCATTTTTTTCTACTTGTGTGAACTGGAGTAGTTGAACCTGCAGGTCTGATGTAACTGTTGAACCTGCCTATTACCACATACATGCATTGGGATGTCCACCCTAAGCCTGTGAGTGCAGCTCTTTGTTCATTCCTTGACCTTAGTAAAATGCTAGTTAAATGTTAAACTACACACTGGATTTTATTTTCAACATTTCATTTGTTAAAAAATTCTTGACAGATTTCGTGCATTTTCAGTACTAATTTTAGCGTGTCATTCTTAGTATGATACTTTTAACATCATAACCCTGAAAAGCTTGTTTACAGCATGAAAGTTAAAATGCATTGCACATTCTTGTATATGAGTAGGAAAAGGAGAAAGAACAGTAGAATATGAAACTGTAGTGGACAGTAGGTAGAAAAAATAACTTTAAACTTTTTAAAAATTATAATTGGAGTAAATATATCATAATGTTTTAGATTTTGTTTTTTGGCTGACATTTCAAGGCTAGTTAATGGGCTGGGATATCCAGGTTTTGTTAATTTCTCATGTAGCATCAATGTGGAAATACCTTGTTGACAAAGAAAGTAGCAGCCTTAATACTTTCCTGAAGACATCTAGATTTTTAATAAGTTGTCCTTTTTAGCTAGAGAATAATTTGATCTGGAGTTAGTGTGGCATATTAGGTGTTGGATATTCTTTTATTAAACTTAATAGAGCAGTATGAGCTAGGTTATGTAAATACAGGGAGAACAGAGTGAGTTTGGCTGTTATAATCCATTAAATCTGAATGCCCAGGTCTGGCAGTGAGTTTTTGTAATTTAAATCTTTAAAGAGATATTTGATGAGGCTTTTTGAAGCTATGGAAAAACCTAAAAGCAAAGATCAGCTTTGAAACAAGTGATCAAGTGGAAATACAGTTTTCAAATGGAGTACAGAATATCTTTTATCATTTCTCTTCCTCCATAGCCTTGAATTCCTTATCACACTGTGTGATATCACACTCTTAGCAGAAGGCAATTAACTGTGTACCACTGAAGCTTATTTTCAGTCATTTGGGATAATTAAATGTTTTTCTTCCCTTTCTCTATTGGGATTTGCATTACATCACTCAAAATGGGATGATTTTGCAAGAAAGTTCCCAACTCTTTGCAATGGAAAGAAATAGTTTTGAGTTAAGCTAAGTAAATAAATGTTTTCAAAATGACATAAAATATCATATAACTATGTTCACCCACAATTGCTATATGTAAAGATTTTAAAGTATATGCTTAGCTGGAATATATTAGGAAACAAGAGACTCAGCTTCAGGAAAAGAAAGGAACTTTTATTTTTCTCTGTAGCTTAAAATGCCATTTATCCTTGAAACATTTACGGAAGCTTTGTTTTTTGGTGTGTGACCATTTTTATACTTGAATGTACAATGATGCCTGAAATATTCTCATTATTATGATTATTCATTTGTCTTGTGTAACAAAATTATATGTAATTTTAATATTTTAATCCTCCTCTTCTTCATAGGATTCAAAATGGGTAGAAGAAAAGCAGCTGTTAATCAGAACAAATCAGGAGTTGCTAGAGAAGGTACGTGTTCAGAATCTGGGAATATTTTCACAGTTACTGCTCTTTATCATAAAAGGAATGGTAAAAGGAAATGAATATACTAAGTACTGGAACATAAACATGAAAATTGTTTACGTTATTTCTCTCTAGAAACAGAAATTTGGATAAAAGTCTCTGATTAAAATACCAATATGCTTTTGAACTCTTTGGGAATGGAAGCTGCTCTTTATTGTGGAATTCCATGTTGTGTAGCCAACAGTAGAACCCAAGCTGGCGGATGTTTCTGATGTCCAACAAAATACAATCTAAAATATTAAGCGTAATGTGGAATCTTGTATTTTGTCAAACAGTTATGCAAAGATTATTATTTTCCTGATCACTAATAAAATTGCCTGCTCCCTTCAGCCTTCCATTTTTTACAGTTTTTCCAGACATTAAGTAATAATGATTGATTTAAGACTATTGTATTCACTGTCTGAGATACTCAGAGCTGAGCATCCTCATTGTTCTTCACTGATATTGGTGGGAAAGTTAGCTGGTACTCAGGAAGCAAAAGAATTATTTTTGTTAATTAGTAGCTCAATATTAATATAATAAGAGTAAGATAACCAAAATTCATGACTAAAAGTAGCTACAGCTGAATTTAATTTATTTAGACACTTACATGGTTATTAGGAGCATTATAGTACATTATGCCAGATGTTACACTTCTATTTAGTTTCATACAAATTAAAAGATCACCCAGTTAAACTAGACAGTAGACCAAAGCTATTAGTTGGCGTAATGAATAGTCAATTTTGAATTTCTATTTTGTCATTGTTCATGCCCCAAAGCACAAATCTGGAAAATTAAAAAGTAGGCATTAAACTCTCTGCCATTATTGTCTTTCATATACTGTAAAGAGTGGATGTCTAGTTAGCCAAAGACAGTGAGAGCAGTCTACCCAAATGTTAATGCAATCCAGTTTCATTCACTTGATTTTAAAAGAAAGCTTGTATTGCTTAACTTAATTAGACATAATATTCATATGACTCTTCATACTACTTCCAGATTACTATTCTAAGAGATCATTGACTGTTTCCTGCTGGCAGTTCTCACAAATACTTTCTGATGTGATGTTCCTTCTCTGTCTCCAAAACTTGGCCCAACATCTAATGAGAAACTGAAAAAATTAACAGTTTTGTCTAAGCCCCTGGCCCATAACTCTGTAAAGTATCTTTTCCATTGCTGGTGTTATGATGTTGTGTTTGTCTCATAGATTTACAGAATGGAACAAGAGGAGCATCAGCTGAAGAACGAGATGCAAGATGCAAAAGACCAGAATGAGCTGTTAGAATTCAGAGTGCTAGAGCTTGAAGTAAGAGATTCTCTCTGTTGCAAACTCTCAAATGGAGCAGAAATTATGTTTGAACCCAAGCTGAAATTCCTGTAAAGATTATTGATGTCTGGTGCATGTTTAAGGGAAATCACTTAGGTATCTATTTTTTAAATGCTGTATCTTGGGATAATGAAATTGATACCACTGCCTTAATATGTTTTGGAGAGAGTGCTCACTAATGTTTATAAAGATGTAATATAGCTAATATATATTGCATAGAGTTTGTTTTTCATCTAATAAAATATTTTGTTTTGCAATATTTTGCCTTTTTTATTTGTTTCATTTCCATAACTGCTCCTTTCCTGCATGTAAAATCACTTGATATGTATACTACAGCCTTGGTTGGCATTGTTTAAATTAACACACCTTCTCACATCTTGCATGCATTGATCTGACTAAAGATCTGACACGTTCATCACATCACTGTATAATTGCTTTTAATTGCATTGATTTAAGATTGACAACATTCATATGAATTAAAATTATCTTAAAAGAACACATTTTGATAGCAGCTTTGAAAGATTTTCTCTTACCTGAAATCCATTTTCTGCTGGTATAAAATGGTCATGGACTGGAAAAAATTGGCATCAGTCAATGGAGACAGGAAAACACCCAACCCTCTGACAATGTCAAAGTTAAACTGATGAAGCACAAGTACAACTTTGCATAAGTGAAATAACAGTGAAGTTATTTGTGAATAACAATTTGAACATGTAGCCTGTGATTACAGCAGAAAGCAATGGTTCTCATCACCTCATAAATGGGGCCCATGTCAAGTTTAGTAACGCTGAACTACTCGTGTGTGATGCACAGTTGTCACACAGATATATCGCCTGATAACACATTGTTCAGTTTCAAAGATCATCAGCATTCTCAATGCCATTTAGAATGAACTCTCCAAGAAACCTGTCATTGTCACTCCTCCATAATTTTCATCACCCAGCACGTTTCACCAAAAATCATGGCATGTGTAACTTCTCTGATAAAGACGAAAATGTCATGTCTTCCTGTTATGTGGACGTTCTGCCTTTTGTCTTTGACATATCTTAATCTTTTTTTAATCCTTTATTTTATCAACCATGTATTTTGATGTCATAGGTCATTATATTCAAAATTCTGAATTTAGGTTATTAGAATTTCAGTAGATGTTCAGGAAAATAAAAATGCTTTCTAATATATATATATTTTATCAAGCAACTATAAAGTAAAACACTGAACAATTTAGCATTTGGATTGGCAGTTGCACTAGAAACTGCTTCTGAAATTATAAGTGGTCTTAGAAGTAAAATGATCAAAAACATTTTCTTAGGAAAAGAAAAAAAAAGTGCTTCAATACATCCTTCATGAATGTCTTTTTCACATGGAAGAATCACATCAAAAATAGCTCAGTGTGATGTGTCGAGTTTTGTTATGTGCCAAATCTTTAAGGACTTGTTTCACAGAATAGCAATGGGAGTATTTTTGTGTGATTGCAAGAAAAGTTTTTTCTCTTGGTAGGCAAGCATGTAGACACGAATCTGACAATGTGAATGCTTTACTAAAATCATGAATGCTTCTGGTAATCATGACAGTATTTTTTGAGAGCAATTAAATTATTTTGGATTAAAATTAGGCTAGAGTAGAAAACACAGCCATTTGTTTATCATTTAATGCAAGCAAATTCAGGTGGGTTTAATGCAATAAAGTAATTTTTTTAAAAATATCTAAAATGGTAACTGAATTTGGACAAGAATAAAGCTTCTGGTTTTAGATTACAACAGCTAGGTTATTTAAGCCCATTTCAAAATTAGATTGTTAATGCAAAAGTTATTTTAAATAGAACCTATGAGGGGGAAAAAATGTATAGATTACAGAGATTTTTCCCTCTACATTGTAGTTTCAAATTAGGTTTAAGCTAGTTAATGAACAAGAGTTGACATGCTTTGTAGCTTGCTTAACTGAATGGATGCAGCCTGCTTGCTGTATGGGTTAAAGCACCTCATTTTGTGATTCAGGAAATTGGGCAATGCATGGATGGTCATGGAAACTAAAATATTTGCAGTAGCTCTCTTTCATTATACTGTCAGAAACTGAAGCTCTTGCAATATGAAGAGGAAATCTGATTTTCCTCACTTATGTTCCCATGGCCATAGAGAATTCGGAGTAAGCCCCAGTGCCTTGGTTGTCCAGAGCCTTCAATCCAGTCATTTTCACAAGTACGTTAAAATATAAGTAATAGTTCTTTGTTCCATGAAAGAAAGCAATAGTTAAATAAGGTTATAACCAGCATAAAAAACTGTGGAGTTTTCAGCATTCCAGTCAGTTATTTGGCCAGCGTGCAAGGGTGTCGGTTAACTTTGCAGAAACTCTGTGTGCATGGAATGAGTTGGAAGCTAACGCCATTCTTGTGCTTAGCTAAAGCCAAAATTCTTCAAATACAGTGAAAGTAGAAGGAAATACAATATATTTTGAATGTGAATAGGAATTTGCCTTTTTAATGTACAAATATGTTTTGTAAAGGTGGGAAATAAATATTTACATATAATCACACATGTTGTTTTTAAACAAAATCTTTCCTCAGGAGAGAGAACGAAGGTCGCCGGCATTTAATCTTCATATAACCACCTTCCCTGAAAACAATGGAAGTGCACTTCAACTGTTCTGTCAACAGGAAGGAATTAAGGTATATGTAGAGCATTAGTAACGGTTGGATGGCCAGGAACCTTTTTGAAATGACCAACCCAATACCGAAACAAATGGTTTGCCATCTTGCTGTAGGGAAGAAAATCTGAAAAAAATAAATATAGTAAGAAAAGATATTTTTAACTGGGAAGGGGTTTCAAAAGAATATGATCTGCTAGTCTGTCAGGAATTCATCAATAAAAATGAAGCCTGGTCAATCAAGATAACTTATATTTAGTCTAGGATACTGCTGTAAAAACATTGCAGAGAAGGTGGCAGATGTTGATGTGATTTATTGTCAGGCTTGCTACAGTGCTTTGTTCTTGATATTAAATGCTTTCATCTAAGGTCAGAAATATGACACTCACCTATTATTTTACACCCAATTTAGTGAAGCACCTATGCATTTTGTTTCTTGAATTGATAGACTTAAGTAATTTGCCTAGGCCAGGGCCTTGAAGCATGAGGTGCCTGATCAAAAACTCATTCCAATAGGTAAGACGCTATCATTTTAGATCAAGCATAAGATAAACATCAGTATCTCACTTGGTTTGCTTCTGCTATGAGGAAGCAAGAATTACTTTTTTCACTTCTGTTCTCCCTTGAATAGGTGAGCTGTACAAATTGATTTGCTTGCTGGTTCACTTAAGACTGAATTCAGACTTGCTTCGTCAGCCACATTGTACAACAGGCCAGAGTAACTTCTCGACGAGTAACTAAAGTGGAGTATCTCTGCGTGTTATACTCTACAGCACTCGCGAGTAATTTATGCTTGTATTTGTAATTGTGTTTACAAGTCCTCTTATAGAATGCTTGTTTCTATTCATATATGCCTTAATAAGCATAATACTCTCTGTAGTGGAAATAAACTGAAATTGTAGGCTGCATATTGTTATGGAGCTGAGTAGTCTAAAAGGAAAAAAAAGTTAAAACCTGATTCTTGCCTACAGGTTTGGTTAGAATGAGTATTTCTGGTTCAATAGGTGCAAGAACTTGCATGTTTTACTGAATTCCATTCTTCACTAATGTAACTGATCAGTAAAAGAAGTTTCCATTCAACATCGTCAATGTTGATCATAATCAATAGTTTTGTTTTAACACCGATCCAAACACAAATGTGTACTAAGCTCCACACCATTCTAAAAATATTGATGTGCACTGTTTAATAGCTAATGCAACATTTGGAGACACTGCTGAAATGTTTGAGGAGAAAAGGAAGAGAGGGAGGGGACTTCTCAGGATAGACCAACTTGAACACAACACATTATCCTTTTTTTGGAGCCAGGATGGACTAATTTCTAGATTCTCTCCCACATCCTTGTCTGGTCTTCAGGAAATCTTTCATTTCTTATTAAGCCTTCTTCACTGGAGTCCGTTAGGTACAGAATCATGAGCAAATATATTCTGGTGTAGTTACATAATTTGCGAGCATAGCTAATTTAGCTTTAAAAAATGTTAAAGATTGATCATCCTGACTACCCACATAACACAGTTGCACAACACATAGGTGCAAACCAGCACATTATGTACCATAAGTAATGAAACTAGTGAGCCAAGACATAGCCCTGTGAAATGTCGGCCGCCTCTAAGAAGTGCTGAATATGAGCTGAAGTTGAGGTTGCCAGCATCTAACAAGGCTGTCTTCCTTTATGCATTTGTGTTAGGCATTTTGGACTAACATGAGCTGGTCTTTGCCCATGCCCTCAAGCCTTCCTACCTTCAAATAGTATGGCTGCCTACAAGCTGTTGATGGGAATGATCCCTGGTCCACATAAACTTGTGGACCATACTTGGGATAGTTCTGAAGAATGTGATTAGTGCAGGTTAAACAGTTCCATGAACCTTTCCAACAACTTTTTAAAGGAGAAAATAGAGTTCTGGGGCCTACGAATGATCCCTGGCACTGTATAAAATACAGACATTGTGTGAATTTATTCCTATCTTTTTTGTATCAGAGGAGTGTTTTTTCTTGATTTCAGCGACTGGGCCTTGATAAGGATGCTATTTGCTGCTTTATGGGTCTGGGGGCCAAGAAATGTGGCTTTCTACTCACAAAGGTTGTGAGCTGATCGTGTTTGGAGGAGCATGTTCAGCCCACTGTGCATATTCTTCCACTGTAAGGCTGATTTGAAACTCCACTCTTGTTTAACAAAGAAAATAAATTAAAAAACCCCACGAACCCACCCAACAAAACTTTTTTACTATTATTTTGTTCGTGCTCTCTGTCGTTATAACTTCTGTAGCTTGATGTGCCTGATGCTCCACTCCAAACAGGCAAAACCAAGTCCTTTAAACCTGTTTATTGGTTTTGATCTTTGTCTGCATATATCAGCAGGATGGTAAATGTAAATCGTACGGGAACGTTCTACCCTCATACACAGACGTCCAGGTTGCTTGCTGTAATCAATCAATCATTTGGTTATGTCTCTGAAAGTATCAATAACACTTTTGTAATTGTGATGCAAAATTAATGTTTTGCTTATTTACGTTTTGAGTCTTTTTGCATGCAGAAATGAATAAAGGGTACATAAAATATATCACATAAAAACTGTTTCTCACCTACTGTATAAAAAATAAGTGTTGACCATCTTTTTCAGGATGTGAATATCTCTGAACTTATGAAGAAGCTAGATATTCTTGGAGATAATGGGGTAACAAATTTTTAATTTCAAATATACCTCTAGTTTTATGGTTATTTTAAAGCATTTCTTTCCCCACAGCAGAAAATAACATTCAAGAAAATGCAGAGAGTGATTTTTACATGCCTATATTTGTATAAACAATATGAATGGTTAGGTACTGCTTTTACAAACTTAAACGAAACTCTTTCAGTTAAACTGATGCTAGTGAAAAGTGTATTTTCTGAAGATAGGATTTGACCTTGGCTGAATGGCATGAAAACAGGTCACTGCAGTAGGCAGAGAGAAAAGGTATAAAACTGGCTAGGGGAGAAAAATAAGGAAGTCAAAGGCAGACCAAGTTATTCCTGAATTTTTTCTCTTGAGTAGTAATAGTAGCACCTGCTACTGTGAAGGATGCCTCTGCCAGGAGTGGATTTGCTGGGAGAAGGGGCAAGGATAATTGGTTTCCTTTCTTCTCCTGAATTGCCAAATACAGTATAAAATCTTGGTCATGCGGTTGGGGCACAAACATCCATGGAACAGGGTCCACTTTAAAGGTAGCTTTAACAGTTTGAGGTCTTTCTAATACTCGTTTTAAGATTTGCTTTTCATGTTGAAAGTTCTGTGGAGGTTTTTATTGTACTTGCTCTTTCTTTGCATTGTTTTCGTTAATGGGAAATCTAGCTCTGAAGTGTATGAGGGGGAGATTCACTTGCTGCAGGGCTATAGTCCAGCAAACTGGCATTTTTCTGGCTATAAAAATAAAAGACATTTCAAAATCCCTAACAGAAACCACTTAATTTTCATTGAATAATGAACTGTTACAAAAGTGTTGTACTGAAACAGAGCAGAGACTAAGTACCCTTGGTTTGGCCATTAATACTTTCAATCATGGGACCCTTTCTGGGCGTGTTTATAAAAAGCTAAATGTTATAGCTGATTTATTCTTTAAAGTACAGTTAAAAATCATCATTTGTGTTGAAGGATGGGTTAAAATCCAATTTAAAATGTATCTTTTTGTATTTTAGAATTTGAGAAATGAAGAACAGGTTGCAATAATCCAAGCTGGGACTGTCCTTTCCCTCTGTGAAAAGGTAGAATTCAGTAAAGATTTTTTTTCCTGCCTAAAGACTGACCGTATCTTCTAAGAGATCACATAACTTTCTCAGGGAAGCATGGCTTTTCTGTAAAAGTCATCTGGATTGGAGCATGTATTCATCCTTACACTACTGTTGGGATTGTGATGTCTTGGAGTAAAATCAAACTTACAAAATAAACCCAATTTAAAAATTAAAACATGTTTTACTTAGAATAAAGTATTAAAAAGCCACTTAACAAAAGAGACTTCATTGTCAGAAGTGCCAATGACGTCAGCTCTCTGGGAGCAGGGTGCTGTGAAGTCTTCTGTAAGTCATACCACCATAGTCCATTTTAAGCTTATTTCTGTGTATGACTGAAAAAGCTCCAAGTGGTCTGTGGTCCTTTCCTCCATAAATTACTGGGCATAGATAGTGGAAAAAGTAGTTTGTACAAGATAGGTAATCAGTCAGGTCACTCAGTTCTGCATGACTAGTTCTTTACTTCTCCAATTGCAGAGCGAATATAATCTGTATATGAATAAAGATGACATTTAGAACTAAGACTCGTCTTTTTCTCTAAAGAAGCTTTGTCTGTCCTTTTCGTAGGTTTCTATTAAATCTTTCCTAGATGCATTTTTAAAATTCAGAATCAAACTTTAAAATTAAAATTTAAGCATTTTGTAGTAATTGCTTTAATTGGTATAATTTTGATAATCTACTTATCTAAATATCTTAATGTAGATAACCTAAATTAGGTAATTTAATAATCGTTGATTTAAGTGAGTAATTGCTATAAGCAAAATAAAATGAGGAAAAGCATTCAAATCCCTATGATTTTTATTGAGTTATAGTATTAAAAAGAGGAGATGATGATCATAGTCCTTTACATCCAATAAGAAAAGCGGAAGAACCCCAGTATGCAAGGCTAAAATGGAGAGCAAAACTGGCCAAACTTTAGGGACTGAACCGGGTTATTGTTCTTCAGGTAAATTAGTGCTTGTTCAAAAAGTGCCACTGGAATTAGTGAGCTTGTTTAATTTGTGTCAGAGTGGTGCAAAACAGAAGATACACTTTGTTATTTATAAGTTATTTCCTTTATCAGCTGACATAATTCCTTAAATGAATAGAAACGTACACTTACAATGGAGACTTTATTTGTTTATGCTAAAGTTGGCCTATAATTTCATTTCATTTTTAATTCTTTTTTTGACAAAATTTCTGCCAGTTCCTAGTTTGCCTTAACTTTTCTCCACTGTAATGTAACCATCTCAGATGTCCCTCTAAATAAGACAGCTTCCCATATGCATTCCTATAGTTCCTTAATAACAAGAAACTATCACATATAATCATCTGATAACGGGACCTTTCAGTAGAGAAATGGTACTACAGACTTTGATGTTGTGCTAGTTATATTCACATGTGCTAATTAATCACACTCAGTGTTTGTTTAGATCAAATCTATTATACTCAGCCACTAAGTGATCTTTTGGAAATCAAGCTGCCAGGCAAGGAAAGTTTCTGGGTTCTGCTGGCACAATTCCAGAAGCTTATTTTGGGTGCTACAACTGATTATGAATCCTAAATACGTGGTTGTCTCTTCTGTACCCTTTGGTTCCAGGAAGGCTTACAGACATGGGAAGATCAGAATCAACATTTAATTTGGCATATCATTCGTACCTTCAAAAAATTAGACCTCTAATTTTTGCAAATAACCCTTCATTTGCAAATATTGAGGGTAGCTGTGAGAGATCCTGAGGACTTCCCATTTCTGCTGATTTCAAAGGTTCAGAATGCTCACAGTCTTGCAGAATCCTTTATCAGCGGTGAGGCTTTCCTTAGGAATATCTTCAGTCTGTCACCTTCAAAATGAAGGAAACAAAGATGATGAGAATAGAATCACTGGGGAATATGGTGTTCCCGTTCACTTTTTTCAAGCTAAAGCTAAACCTACTAAGTAGATAAAACAAGTTTCTGTTTTTATCCACCAGTCTCTTAAATAGTGGAAGGTCCAAAAGGACAAACTAATGAATTCACATTTTGCTTATTTGTAAACTTATGTTTGCAAATTTTCTATCTATCTAAATCGGGGGGGGTGTGTGTGTGTGTGTGGATATGTCATTAATTCCTTTGAGTCTGAGCCCCAATGAACCCACCAAAACGCTAAATTTAAAAAGTCAATGTGTAATGCTTACCAAAAGGATTAAAGTAAATAGGAGTAATCTAGTATTAGTAAGCGATGCATTTGAGGAAAGTGAAAATTATCAGTGGCAAAGCTACAGCTGATCTTAATGGGAGCTGGCACTACAAAAAGAAACATTAGTCAAACTATGCTCTGCAAGTTAGTCATTGATCCTGATGGTAGACCAATAAGGAAATGAAACAAAACAATTCAAAACTGACTGAGCGTTCCTACCCATTCCAATAGACTTAAATGTTAAATATATATATCATCCTAGTGACAGTAACTAAGCAAGAACTTTCTATCCATGCATTTTGCTGTTACAGTATGTAATTTTACCTTTGTTAGTCTTTGATGTGTTTCTACAGTCCTCCATTCTGCCTGTTTTCACTACCTGTTTATTCATGTGTAACTTTGAAGTGAATAGATAAGGGGGAAGCATATGCCTGGGAGTGTTGGTAACAAACTTGCAAAATACTCAGTGCAAATTTTTCAAAAGCTCTGGGTTTTTTAATTTATTTTTTTTTCCTCTTCACACTGCTATGTTCATGTAGTGGTTAAAACAGATAGAGGGGACAGAAGCTGCACTGACACAGAAGATGTTAGACCTGGAGAATGAAAAGGTAAGGAACAATAACAATATAACTCATCTAGCTAAAACTCATCTCAAGGGAACATGTATAAACTTCATCACAGGTTGATTTGCTGCCTTTCTCAGCTTAACAGAGATCACTTCATGGTAAAATAAGCAAGAAGTTTCTAGAACAATTTATTGCTTGTATTCTTTGCGGTGGGACGAAACTGTCAATGCTATATAGCACAGAAATAGCAAAATGTATATAAATTAGGACACGAAGGCATAACTTTACAGAGCATATTAACCAAACAGTGTAAAATTGTCTTTGTGCTTTCTCTATGTATTAATCTGTCTGGCAACAGCATCATATTTTAATCTTGGGGTCATGATAGTAGAATTGTGAAGGATATTCCTTCAATCTCTGGTATTCAGCTTCCTGAGAAGTAAAGACCTCTTACTCCAGATGACCTTTCTTGCCCCATTCATGCTTAAAGACAGAATGTTTTCTCAAAAGCAGTTTTTTCTTGCATAAGAAACTCAGTGCTATACTGACCTTATTTTTCCATATGTTGAACAAAAAGGTTTGGAATGAGTGGTTTTATTGGTTTACCATGCATGCTGTGCTTCTCATCTTCAAATGGCTTTACAAACACTGATTAATCCTTGCCACACCTTTTACAGGTAGATAAGTAATCAGCATTACATTCATCTTAATGAATGGGAACAGGGAGGTTAAGTGATTTGCCCAGGGCCACTGAAGAAGTGTGTATTTGGGCCACAATCAAAAAAAAATAAAAAATGCTCAGACTGTTCCCTGTCAAGTGTAGTCTATCATACTGGCTGTACTTTATCATAGGTATAATCCTTTCCACATTTGGTATTTTTTTTTTTTTTTATTTTTAACTCTTGCTGTGGAAAAATGCAAAGGTTTTGGAGAGGTAAAGTGTCCAAAATATTAGATTGTTTTATACAAGAAAGAGGAAAAAAATAGTTTCTTTCTAACTTGGTTTATTATCTTCCCATTTATTATCTGTGATGTTTTCAAGTCTTACTCTGGATAGCCCTGTATCTATTTGTTTAGCATAGCAATCTGAGAGTCTGCATCGCCAATGATTGACTCAATTGTGAAATGAGTTTAGAAATAATATTCTAGCGTGATGCTTTCAGAAGGGCTGTGCACTGGTTTAGCTGCCCTTGGAACTCATATTAAGAGTTTGAGATCTTGTTCTCGTTTCCATCCCCTTTCCTTTTGTGGCCAGCTTTTACAATAGCTTTTAAAGAAGCAGCATGATCAGGGCAGCTGCATTGCTATTCTGGGATCTGTTGGTAGCTTTGACCCTCACTGTAGTCTTAGGCAAGTCTGTCTACTGCTCTGGTGTCGGCCACTTGTAAGCATGTTAGGACCAGGCCTGTACCTCACTATGCATCACACAGTGCACGGTGGTATTGCATCTTGTACAACAGCCATGTAGCTGTTGCTGTAATCCACATAAGAAAATAAAGCCACCTGGGTAGTCAAGGTGGGATTCAGTTGCATTACCATGGTGTCTAATGCCGTATTACCTTCTTCAGAGTTCCGGAGATGTCTACAAGGGGCTGAGGAATGTCCCACAGGACCTGCTGGAGACCCCTGCCCTTCTGGACCAGCAGCTGAAGTAGCATGCCCTAAAATGGCTATAATAGCAATAGATGCCCATATGTGGGTAACTGAATTCCAGCCCCAAAATCAAAGTCTAACCTAAACTTTGGTTCTAATTTCAATATTAATTTTCAGGTAAATAAAAGAACTCCAAGTTTACAAAAAACCTGAATAATAGATATTATAGTTCTTAATACAGAGAATAAATAGCAACTTACTCATCTGAGTCCTCAGATATTGGTCTTGTATGTTGCTGCTGTCACCAATTATGAGTTGTTCTTAACAAGTGGGAGGTCATCTGTGGCTATTTTATGCTCTGAGCTGCTCCCAAGCATTAGTTTGCTGATCAGAATGGATTTGTTTTAAACCAGATGTTTGGAGTGAGGATTCATCATGGTTCATCCTTAGGCAAATTCTATGCCAGTGCTAAACAGACAGCCGTCAGAAAAAAATGTTGGAAGTCCACATATATGTCTGAAGGCAAAATTGGCCAAATAAGTGACTTTGGGTCAATCCCATATCCAATAAAATTAACCAGACCAGCAACATTTGATTTTTTATATACTATTAATAAAAGCTACAATCAATCATCTTAAGAACCCTATGTATTTTATTTGGCATTTATTCTATATGTTGGGAAATGCAAGAGGTTTTTTTCATCATTCTTTTTTCTATTCAACATATTACATTCAATCAAAGGGCTTCTCTGCTTTCTGGACTACTACTAATTCTTTTGAGCATGAAAACCTGCCTTGAAAGAAAAGCTAATAAAATCAAGTAACTAATTTATGTTCTACATACTATCATTCAAAACACTCTGAAGGCATGTTTTGCAAGAGCACTATCACCAGTCAGATCTCATTTGGTTCAGACCAAATTTGGTTGCCTATTCAGACAACCATTCAAATGTCCACAACTTTCTTGCAACATCATGTTTCTGGATAATGAGTTCCACTGAAATCCCACCCTGGGATATATAAAATATATCCCATATATAAAATATATATGTGTGTGTGTGTGTGTGTATATATATATATGCATATATATAAAAATATAACTGTGAAAGTGAGTTTGATTTTAAAACCAAAAGCAAAAAGTCCCTGTAAATCCTAGGTATGTTGAAAACTTCTTCAGCTAAAGTCACTTAACCTCTCTGGGCATCACCTTACCCATTTCAAATTGGCTTCCTACCTTCACAAGTTGAGAACTGAGCTTTTACTTCTGCTTCCCTGATGCATCAGGGAATGTTGCTGCAGAACCCAGCTAGGGCCCTGCATGTTCTGGATTCCTGCCTAGAAGAACAGGCTGGACAGCACAGATGGTGGTTTCCCTGTGATTCCTTAAGGGTGCCCATTGGATATTTTCAGAGAAGCAGTAAAGTGCCCTCACCTGTGTTTCTCTCTTTCCTCCCTTGGCCTGTCCTGTGGAAGTAATGACTACTGGACCACATGCATGCACATTCCCATTCACCTTTCAGCCTTTGTCTGCACTTCTGTCAGGTCAAGGCAGGTTTGTACACTGGTGTAGAGGTGTATACTTTATAGGTGCAACTCGTTAATATGATACACTTATTTTAAGCGCTAATATTGCAAATTTGATATTCCAGATATCTTTAGGATGAGTGTGGTCATTGACTATAGATTTTCTTTGCTTTCGAGTGGAAAGCTCACATAAAAATGATGACATTTGTGGTTCTTCATGAATTAGGATAAAGAACAAACGCTCCCTTGTTTTTATTATTGCTCAGGACCTGTTCAGTAAACAGAAGGGTTATTTAGAGGAAGAACTCGACTACAGGAAGCAAGCTCTGGACCAGGCATACATGGTAGGAAAAGATCAGTCATTAAATTTTCATGTTTGAACAAATTTAATAAAACACAGGTGGTTTTTTCTTTTAATTATAAATAGGATTCTTTCAAAATGGATTTATTTTTCTGCCACACTAGGAATCAAATACTACTTAAATGGAGCCTTAGGAAATGAATTATAGTATTTAGAAGTTTGATGTTTTTGCATTGCATATTTTTATTCTAAAATGTGTGAACATCTTGTTAGTACATCTGGAATGGGAAGAGCTGATCTATGTGTGCACAAAATTATCACTGGTAAAATACACCAGAAATTACCAGAGAACTTATCCAATTTTGCTTTTTCCTAAGCATTTGTAAATATTATTGCTGCTAACCTATCCCAAGTTGGGAATGCCTGTTCTTCCTTTGCGATTCCTTCTTATTCTGTCCTATCCAACCTTACCTTTCCTAGTTTTCAAAAGGGAAGCTGCAACCTTGCCTTCTCTCAGCCTAACCAACACTTACAAATTATCTAGGAAATGGTAAATCTGCAGACTATTAACTTTGTTAATAGTGAGACTTCAGAAAATCAAAATACAATGGCCTGAAGAATTATTTATACATTGTAAATATTTCTTATGGGGAAAATGTTTTCGGAAAAGAAGCAAGGTCTAGTGCTCAGAGCAGATAGCAGAGACAAAAGCAAGCAGGGGCTCTATTTCTAGCACTGTGACCTTGGGCAAGCCATTTAACCTCTCTGTGCAGCTGTTCATGCATCACTAATATGGATAGAATTACCTACCTCACAAAGGTGTTATTAGGGCTAAAGGGATGTTGTCAGATGCTCTTGATCCAAATATTGTCAGTCTGCATGCTGGTTTTCAATAGGATCATCCTAACTCCAATAGTGAGGGACACACTGCCGTGATTCCTTTCTTTCTCCACTCTTGGGAATACAGTTCTCTGTATGAATGTAAAGTTCTCCTGTGCTCTCTGCTCTGCAAAATACTGCAGTTTTGGTCAGTGCATGAGAATCTGATTAGAAATCTGACAAACAGCAAGAGACTGATGAGGGATTAGTGTATGCAAGTATAGAAGCGTTCCTCTCGTATTGCTTATGGCAACTTGGAACTAAGCCAGTGACGTAGACTTTGAGCAATGGATGGCAGGACAGCAGAGCCAGAGAGAGGGAGACAGTAAGATGTCTGTTGTTCACAGTTCTCCCTCTGGGCTTTTTAGTTTATAGGATTATAAGAATTCAGTTACAGTTGAAGGGAATCTGTTAGTTTGCTTTAATTTTGTAATGTACACCGTCAGGAGTTGGGGTTTTTTTTCACATATTGAGAGCAGACCTATAATCTGAACCTTTCTTAAATAGAAGAAATCAATCATTTACTAGAATGGGAAGCATCACCCGGGTGTAAATCAGTGCCGGGAGGCTACGTGCACTCTGTGTGGAATGCTCCTCACTGCTCACAACTGCCGCTTTCTGTCTACCTGTCTGTGTTCGTCCTTCCCTCCTGCCAAAGGCTTCGCTTGCTAGCCTTCTCCTCTAGCTGTTGGTGGGTCGTTTGCTTGCTGGATTCAAATGGCAGCCTGTCTGTATGTGATTTGGGTTGCATTAGAAAATCCAGGAGCTGGAAGCCACGCTGTATAATGCCCTGCAGCAGGATCCAGGAAGGCGGGCAAGCGAGTCGCTGACCGAAGCCCAGAGGGAGGATTTGCGAGCTGCAGTGGAGAAGGTGCGGCGGCAGATCCTGAGGCAGAGCCGTGAGTTTGACAGCCAGATCTTGCACGAGCGAATGGAGCTGCTGCAGCAGGCACAGCAGGTAATCCTGGTTCTCTCTCCTCCCCCTTGTTGGTGTTACCTCCGTGGTTGCCGCCACTGCCCATACAACAGCATCGCTTCACCCTCACCTCGTTGAGATACGCTTAGTCTATTCTTTGTATTGCCCCCATGTCAAGGAGAGGAGCAGCGTTAGGACCTGGTTGTGCTGGGCATGGTACGCACACAAAATGAGTCACTGTCTCACTACAAGGTCCTGTTGCACAATCTGTTTCATGTGTGTACAACCACACAGGCTTCCACAGCACTCCAAGGGGAGCTTGTTGCAAGTTTGAGGCCTAAATTAGAAAAAGCCAGAATGGAAGGTTGTAAGAAAAGGGGAAAGGCAGAAGCAGTAGTTACAGGAACTGAATTTTTTATTTTTCCCCTCTTCTATTTCTCTTAGCTATTTGTGAAATCTTTTAAAATAAAAAAAAAAAAAAAGAAAAAAGAAAAAAAAGGAAGTCATAGGAAGTCTTTTAAGAGGCCATTTACAAGCCTTCACACCTGTAAATGAGTTCAGAAAAGCCTTGTCTGTCTAAGCCACTTTCTTAAGGACAAATACTGACAACTTGAATTCAGGCAAGTTCCTAGCAAGTATGGTAATTATTTTCTGAAGAATCAATTGGTAGGTTTGCTAGTTTTTCTGTGCAAATATTCAGGGAAAGATGAGAGCTATATGTCTGAAGTTGTTGATTATTCCAGCAGGAACAATTACTCCTAAGGATTTTGGTTCCTCTTTGTAGTAACCTCTGGAAGATGCAGCCAGATGTCTTAGGTCTGGAGGACTGCCCTCCAGTTACTCTAGCTACTTCCTGTGCAAGTCTGGAATTGTAAATGCCAAACTCGGCTATGCAGATGTGTTCAGGGTGTTGGTGCTATCTCAGATGCTGGTTACTGGGGCAAGGGCTGCATTTAGCTTAGTTTAAGCCTCTCTCTGTTCAGGTTGCTTTGTAGATGAATATAGACCGTAAATGATGTAATGTTCTGACCTGGCACTGTTATGCTCATCTCCTGTCATCCTGCAGTGATGAGAAGTGCTTATGGTGCCAATGTTAAGGCTGAGCTCTGCCTTCCTAGAAGTCTCCTTTCTCTTACTCCTGACTGTGTTCCCTTGGTTTGGAACGTGTAACATTGAGATCAGGAAATGAATTTTTTTAATGGGTGTCAGATCAGCGATGGTGTACAGAAAGCTGGAGAAGGTAGGCACCAGCTGATGCTAAAAGTGTCAGAGAGTAGGGCAAATATATGAAATTTGGTAGATAAGGATGGAGCCAGAAGTTATTAGCTTAATGGTATCAGTGTAGCTGAACAATTAGTGAGAATGCGGGTTTTTTGCCAGTCCCTTAAACAGTCCAATTTCCTAGCCAGACAGCATGTGTTTAATTTGGACTATGTTCTGTTTGGTCCCATGCACCGCTCACTATCAGTCCGAGCACTTTAGGTGCACATCTGGAGCACATCTTCAGTTGAGTTTAGTTCATGAATTCACAGATTGCTCCATGACATAAAGTTAAATATGACTGTGGAAGAAAACTTCACTCCAGTTCTGAACAAAAATGCTAGTGTAAATGTAGCCTCATTAGCCACGGATGTTTATGTACCTGTCTCCAGATCCATTTTATACTGTGTCATTAGAGTTTTGTGTTGTGTCCATCTCATTAGACATGCTAATGTTACAGCCCTGCAGGACATGTTAAACAATTCTGCTAAGAAGCAAAGTGTCTTAGTCATCTATTTTTAACCCCTTGTAGTAGACAGGAAAACCAAAAGCAAAGATGGTAGTTAATTTGCCCGGGGTGGGGGAGATTACAGATTGCATTTGAAATCCTTTACTCAGTTTTTCCCTCTCAGTCGTTTTCTTCTTGAAGGTTTTATTTGTGGGTTTTTATGGGACCAGTTGTCAATACTGATAACCTAGTAGTTGTATGCAAATGCCTACGGCTTAAAAACAAACAAACAAAAACCCCTAGCATGGCTCAGTAGTGTCACAGGGCTAATTCTTATAGGATTACTTTCATCTACTCTAGCAGATGACAGCAGCTGAAATGCTGCAAAAGTGAGAGCATACCTGTGTTGGCAGAGTCCTAAGGTATGGATGAAGCTGCTCTCAGTACATCCCTAGATGCTACATTACATGAATCCCCTCTTTTCTTTTGCTCATATTGTGGCATTAGCAAGCAGCCATTACACTTTACTCTGGCAAAACTGAAGCCTAGACCTGGTCATATTTGTACAGCCTGCAGTGCTTTTACGGTACGCACCGCCCTTCTTGCTCTGCTGAAGTGGAGGTTACAGAGAATGATATGACCTGCAGGACTTCGTACAGAATGCCCTTGTTGCAAACACTCTGAAACTTTCCATGAAACATAAACCATGTATTAAAGACTCCAAATTCTCTGGAAGTTTGATCACTTCCAGAAGGCTTTTTCTTTGCTTCCATTACCTTCTGTTATGCCTGATACAAGGGCTTCAGAAGAACAACTCTGCTTATCCTGACAGGCTGGCTACAACCTCCTCTGAGTCAGAGTTTCTGTGTCAGACACGCAGAGTGGGGGTCCAAGGAGATCTGATGATGGAGAAGGAGGCGTTCTCTCCTTCTGCATGTAAATGATCCTTGACCATACTGCAGGATGCAGAAGTGGCAAGGCACGTGATGAACGCTGCAGGTAGGTCTGCAGGGTTTCGTTACAGGTGAACTGCTGCATGCAGGGACTTGGAGGATTTGGCTTGTGAGATGCTGGTTTTACAGACCTGGTGAACATTCTTCCTGGGGAATGTACTGCCTGAAAGGGACAGGGACGTGCGTAAGTGGGCGAACTGTTGTCCAAATGTGAGCCTGTGCTGTTTTATGATGTGTGCTGCTTTGTCCAGATAGAAAGCCTGAGTTCTTAGCCACTGGGTATTGACTTCGTTCCAGTGAAATAAATACATTTTAGGATATTAGGCCCTGTTTTACATTGGTAGGTCTGCTCATCTTGAGCATGTATAGCCCCGCATTATTATTGTTTATTAGTATATAAATGGAACCATTTATGTGCACCCGTTGGGTATTGAGGAAACCAGGCCTCTGTGAAGCCAAATTAGACAGACCGTGTGATTAGATCTGCTCGCTAAGGCATACAACGCTTCTATTAAACCCAGAGTGCAACATGCAGGTCTGGGGGACAGATCCTCAGCTGAAGCATATTGACAGTGGTCCCTTTAAGTCAGAGAAGGTGCTTTGATTTACACCACCCTCTCTCTTTGGAGGAGGCAAAATATGTTAATTAAAAATCTGTCATGAGCAGCTTGTGATATTTGCTTCTAGCCATAGGGTATGTGCAGTTCAACTGCTATTCCTGCATGTATTGCCATCAGAAATGTCTCCTTGTGCTACACTGTTGTTATAAGCTTTTGTAAATCAGTGTCCGGCTTATTTTTAGCAGGACTTCATTTAAAAGTAACATTTGTGCTCTCATCAGTGCAGTGGCATGACTTTTGTGCATTTTGGAAAATATGAGGATCATTACTAGCAGGTTCTGTTAAGAAGGATAACTTTATATATACATGTACCATGCCAAGCTGTTTCTAGAGTGAGAGAAAAATGTATTTGTGTAGCTATAAAAAACATCTATAGAAAAAAAAATATTTCAAAGGGAGCAATAAAGTGTGTGGGGGTTTTTTGAAGTAGTGATACCAACTTCTTAGTTAAGCAAACTCAAAAAAGCCAAACACACACAAAAACCACAACGAAACCCAAACACCCCCCACCCCCAAAATAAAAAAAATGCCCCAAAAACCCAGCACAAAAAATCCACACAACATCATGGTTAGATTGCCTTAAAAATATATTATGATTGTGTTATCTGCTGAAATTAATAGATATTTAAAAGTCAAATTATGCTTTCTATAAACCAAATAGGATCTAACTCGAAATAGATTCCTGTTGGTTTAGCTGTAGCTGCTTCTGCAGTAAGAAATTGTGGGAAGTGATCAGAACCAGGCTTTAAATAAGGATAGATGAATTCAAATTGCACTGTTGGCAGTATTCAAACATGAAGAAAATTTATGATAGAAATGGAATTTATTCTGATTTCATTTTAAGTTATTTTAAACACAAAGAGAAGCTGGAAAATCCTTGAAGGACAGCAGATTGGCAAACACTCAGTTCAAAAATGATTGCTGCCAATCAGAAAGGATACGAGAGACAGATTTTATTAATGTAATCTAGTAATTTCCCAGAGCAGTCTTAGCTTTGTATAAAATTGAAAGAAAGAAGAAATAGAAAAGATGTGTTGGTTCATTGTGTCATCAAAAAGTGTGAAACTTTTTTCTCTAAGTCGCACTGTAGCTCTGTACTAAACTGGGGGTGTTTTATTCTAACTTGGATGAGAATATTCTTGGGTGGAGCTCAGTTTTACAGAGTAAATCAGACCACTGCTTCAGTTCTAGACTTGAATATAATACATCTATGGAATGCTGAAGGCATCCAAATTCCAGCTGTAAATAGTTGGAATATAGCTAGAAATATTTTAACTATGTTTTCTTTAAACTATAGTATTTACTCCTATGACCAGGATTGGATTATCCATCTGTAATAAAAGCAGAAATTGCCACTTTATTTGCACATTTTATTAGAAAAAGGCATAGGGCAATCATTTAGGACAAAACAGGTATAACTCAAAACTGACCTCTATCTGTAGAGATAGGAGAATCCATAGAGAAGGATTCACTGCAAATGTGGTGCCCCAGGCACTTTTTTTCATGGACACTAAGGAAAAGACAAAAACAATGATGTCTCTTTTTCATCCTGAAATGTCAAAATATATATATAGCTTGAAATTGAGAAACACCAAACTAATTTCCTTCACTAAGTTTCTTCCTTTTATTTTCTGACCTGAAGAGCCAAGTTCCTACTGCTTAAAGGTCAAACAAAGCTATGGTGGATACCATTCCTCCATGAGTTCTACCTGCTCTCTCATAGGTAGGACAACTTTTTCACACTGGGAGAGTAGTTTGTCT